TGCCCTCTTCATGCCTGCCTGATCACCCTGCATTTGCAGAAACAGTTCTGCCAGGCAGTGCAGGGCAGCCTTGTCTGGGACTTGTTGTTTCTGGCCTCTGGTGTCACTGCTGTCCTCTGGCTTCTGGAGAGCTGGGGATGAGAAGCAGGGTTTTGCATGGACAGAGTCTTAAAACTGTGGGTATTTACCATGGCAGGGTAAGACACAGACCTGTTCTATATGTAGGTTTAGTGGCAGAAACCTCTAACTTTCTCCTGTTGGCTTTGTTTACTCAGCAGAAGACCTTAAAGCAGCTTTCCTGCTGCTGCAGGGATCTTGGAGACTGGTGATGCCACAGGCAGGGTGCAAGCAGGGAACGCTGGGGCTCATGCACAAGGCTGTCTTGAATAATCTTCCCTCTTGTCCAAAGGAGACAGTGCTGTGCTCCTTCTTCCTGCATGTGTGATGGACTCTGATGGCAAGAGCTAGGCTGCCCCTTTAACATCTCTGACCTCCTACACAAAGTGAGCAGCTCCCAGGATGGGGTGCAGTGGGTTTGGAGAGGCTTCTGTGGTTTTATAAGAATGCTGTACATGGGACTTTTTCTTTTCTCTGTACTGGTCACATGTCATCTTTGCTTCAGTGGCTGGTTTCTGGATGCCATGCTTTAAAATACAGATGTAGACAAATTGGCAAAAGGCCAGAGGAGAGCAGCACTAATTGTCAGAACTTTAGAAAACATGACCTCCGAGGAGAGGTTGAAGAAATCCAGGTGCATTTAATCTAGGCAAGAGAGTATTGATGGGGGAGGGAGAGGGATGTAATGGTTTCTCTGTACATAAAAGCTGTTGTTAAGGAAGGATGATTGATTTATTCTTTCACTATCATTAGGGGGGAAATGATGAGACAAAACTACATTTGCACTGCAGAGGAGGTCTAGCTTGGATATTTAGGAAAAGCCTTCAGTGCAGTGAAATGCAGGAAGAGGTTGTCCAGGGAAGCTGTGAAATTTCTGACACTGGTGGTTTAAAGAAGCTGTTCAGTTTCCATGAAAGTTATGGGCTGTGCAACCTACCAAGATCCCTGTTAGTGCCTTTGTTCCTGTGTTTCAGGCTAAAGGGTAGGTTTGAGGCTGGTGCCTGTCCCTTAGCAACTGCAAGCCTTGGCTCTGCCAGCATTGCCAAGTTCACATGGTCAGAAATGCATGAACCAGACTTCTCAAAGCTTTGGCTGTAGTTCATAAAAATTGTATGGCTCTAGTGGAGAATAGTATAAAGTAAGCTCTGTTTATCTGCCCACTGGTCTTGAGTCCTTTTGGCTGTGTCTGTATTGCAGTTGGAGATCTGATGGCAGAGAAACCCAAGTTTGCTCTAGTCTAACTTTCTTGAGTAGGAGTGAAGAGAGGGCAGCTTGGACCTTAGTACTGGGCAGTTGCCCAAGTAAGCCTCTGCTGTCTGGAGACATATTACACTGAATTTTGGGCTGTTGTCTTTGCTGCTCTCTGCAGCTGAGGTACAAGGCTGAGATCTGGAAGAGATGTCCTTACCCAGGCTGCCATCACCTCTGGTTGTAGTGCAGGCAGACACAGGCTTGGAAACACAACCTTTCCTCTGCGGTTGTGCCATAAGAATTACTTCTGTAGCAACATGACTCTAGGTTCTAGGGCTTTTAAGCATTGTAAAATAAAATGTGAAAGTAATAACTGGTTGCTGGGAAAATATTACAGATTAGCACAACTTGTTCTCTACCTTGACTGCTTTTATATTTGACAAGTATCACTTGCAGAAAAAAGGACAAGTTTTATTATAACCTTTTTGTCTGCTTCTCTTCCAACTTCCTGAGCACATTTTTCACAGGCATCAAACTACTTTCAGGACAAAATGTGGGTGATTTCTCCAGTGGTGGTGAGAAATGGGGACGTGTGAGGGTGCCATTCACTGGCAAAAGTGGCAGAATTTCTCACACTCCTGCACTTGTGATCTTGCCTACAAATCTTTTCTAGGCATAAGGGCTTTTTTTTAAGGGGAGAAGGTCTAGTTTTTTGCACCCGTTGGCAAGGAGCAGATAAAAGCATGGACCTTTAATATCAGGTTTGCTTCTTTTGTCTTGTCTGAGATCCACAAATGCAGAGTTCTGCCTTTTTGGACAAATTTACAGATGACGTTATCCCATATTTTAAACACCCTACTTTTGTATCCCTCTTGCCTGAAGCTATTAACATTGGCAGAATTGATGTGCTTTGTTTATTTTGTGTACTACTTACAGCCTGAATGTTGAACACCAGCTGATCTAGTTTTCTGTTGGGTTGCAGTAAGAGGTAGGGCATGCTTTTCCTGTTGGCTCTGTACATGCTTTTGCATCCCTGTTCTGAGGAGACTGTGAACCAGTCTCCAAAACAGGGATGGAGAAGGTGAAATGGCTGCCCTGTGATCAAGCTAAGAGTAGGTCCAGTAAAGGCAGGACTTTGCATACCTTCATCTTGGGAGTGTTTGTATGACAATCACATGCTTCTGCCTGTGGGTTGATGGGCACACACCCCAGGGTTTGCAAGCAGGCAGTGGAGCCTCCCACTTGCTGTGATTGATGGGGTGTAGAGATCTTGGCAGTGGCCAAGAGGAACATTGCTGACTGTGCAGGGGAGCTGGGTGCAGCTGAGCCCAGGCTGATGGGGAGCAGTGTGGCTGATCTCCACTCCAGCGTTCATCTTGGAGCTGGGAGTTGGGAGGTCTGGATCTTATCCACGGCTCTGACACTGAGTCACTGCATGACCTCAGGCACTCAGATACCATGGTGATGAACACAGCACAAATGTCTAGACAGATAGATTAGATCGGATAGACTTTGTATTTGACAAATATTTGTATACCACCACTGTCAGTGCTCCCCTGCTTTAACCACCTAGCCTGGTGGTTTCAGTGGGTCTCCTACACAGCAGGAGGGAGAAGAACCACTTTTTACACTGAGGAAGGAGTGGACACACAACCACAGTAACACAAGTACCAGTGGTGACAGACTGGAAGCAAAGCAGGCAGTAGGGCAACTCTTGGAGGAAAAACACTGCATGGCTGAAAGGCTCAGAGTCAGGAACTGGCTTCTCCCCAGCTCTGCCACAGCTCTGTGCATGGCCCCATCTTTCGTCCTGTAACCAATTAGTCTATAAGATCCCCCGGGCAGCAGTCACTTCCTCCTCCTGCTATGGCTTATATCACAAGGCCCTGATTTCAGAAAAAAAGGCAAACTAACTAAGTAAGACTTCCTTAAAACTTTTCCTGTGCCATTGTCAGCCTCTGGTGTGAGGGAAGATGCAGGAGAATCAGCTCTCCCTTGAGTGACTTGGTTATTTTCTCACATGGTTCCCTTGTGAAAGATGGACACAGCAGTACAGCAAAGATGTGGCTACCAGTGTGCCTATGTAAGGGTTTTCAGAGGTTCTGCAAGATCTCCTGGGCACCCCTGACAGTGAGCCAGGAGTGCTGGAGAAGAGCACTGCCTCTTTAAGGAGATTTGCATAGCAGAGCCTAATTACAGTTGTTGATTCTGATGTTTTCAGTGTTGTTCATATTCCATTAAAGGATAATGCCGCTTAATTTGCAGCAGAGGGTCTCGGTTAACAGTGCACCCAATCACAAGGCAGCCCTAATGACACTACTTCCCTACTTCTGGTAACACATAATTAAAAAATCACTTCATTTCCAGTTGTGTGGTTCTCCCCTCTCCCCCAATCTCCTGATTACTTTCTAAGCCATTTCATGATTATCTGTAAATATTTCATCACTTAGATCTACTAATGAGTCCATGGAAGAGTTAATACCTTGAGTAGCATAACTGCTTACCATTCCCTTTCTAGTACTGCATTGCAAGGAATGATTTTCCACCTTGCATAAGTGAGAAGAGGGGCTTTGCTTGTGGTGGGATTGGGTTTGTGCTATGGATTTGGGGATGACAGGAGAGGGATAACACTCAGGAACTCCATCTCAAGTTGTAAAAGGTTTATTGCTGATTTTGGCAGTGGATATGTATTTCACTGCAAATTGTTTTAATTGGATTAATTCTCACCAAAAGGGCTGTCCTGTTGCCTGGCTGAGGGAGCTGATAGTCAGAGGGACTTAGGTAGCACTGAGTATGAGTCTGGATCTAGCTGGGATGTTCACACATCTGGAAGAACTGTCTGGTTTCTGCCCTGCCTCTACAGGTTTGTGGGAAGTGGTAATACAGCTCTTGCTGCACTTGGGCAAGAGAGGGCAATAGGTCTGGCTGCGACTGCCCTCGTGTGATGTTTCTTCACAAGCTCATCTTGCATGCCACAGTCAGTGGGTCTGTGGTCACTGGGTAAAGAAAAATCTGAATTTCCCATCAAACCTGTGCACAGATATCTGCCACAGCTCCATGGCTGCAGGCTAGAGGATGTGGGGTGACATATGCCCTGATGCCCATGGTAAAATGGGGAATCTGTTCTCTAATCCAACCGCTGCTCTTCTCTGAAAAGCCACTGTACAAATGCTGCTTTCTCGCTTCATAGATCTGGTCCCTGTATTTGTCCCATATCTTGGGTGTTAAAATTCACTTGGGGTTTACAGACTAAGTACTCAGAGCTGACAGAGTGATGGAGGAGTGAGCTGGAGTGTCTTTCCTGCCCATGTGTTGCATGGGCTTGATTGCTATATTCTTTGTATGGTCAATCAGTAACACCTTATGCAAGCCCACTGGGAGCCTACTGATGGTCTCTGAAGGCATTATTTGGAATAACCAGAGCTAATTGTATAACGAGGGGGTAATTAACTTCCAGGAATTAAAGAATCAAGCTTAGGCTGCACTACTCCTAGGGGTGAGTCTATAAGGCTGGGAGTTAGAGAAAACTAGTCTTCTCTAACCATTTGAGCATGTGTGACTTGGAAATCCTTGATACTTGGGGAATGTGAGGTTGCTTCAAATAATATCCATGCTTTTCTAGGCAATTCTTTAATAGCAGATAAGGAAGGAGGTCTTGGTTATGGTCCTAACCCAGTCCATTTGTGTTTCAGGTAACCCTGTCACAGTGGGAATGAGCATTCATATCTCCAGCATTGACCAGATCTCTGAAGTCAACATGGTAAGTCTGGAAAACAAAACAAATGAACAAACAGAAAAAAAACCCCTGTTCTTCCATTTTCTGGTTGAGATGTGCTTCCAAGACAATGGCTCCTTGGAGCCATCTGAGATTTCATGGTGTACTTCTGAAAAGCAGGGTAGTCACACCCCTCCTTCCTTCACCTCCTACTACACATCTTCCCTGCAGCTGGGAAGTTGTTGGGAGAAGAGTGACATTTGTCTGGTACTGAGGAAGTATTTTTTTCTTCTGCTTTCAACACAGAATTTTGAGGGATGGTGGGAACTCTGATTTAAGACAGAATTCTTCCTCACTAAAGCATAAGGAATTCAAGGATAATTTCTCCGTATGTAGTGTGAGGAAAGAAGAAAGTCAAACACTTAAATGGGTTATAGGAAATTAACTTTTTTTTTTTTTCCCCATATTTCTTTCTCAGTGTACTGCTTTCACTCTGAGCCTTGGTCCTTCCACCTGCTGAGTGAGCTGTGTCACTGGGACTGCCTGTCACTTGTCCTCACAACCGCAGCCCAGCCCCAGGCTGAAACAATCCTGAACTCACTGAAACAACACTTGCAAGATAGGACTGGCATGTGGGACCTCTGTGGTACACAAGGTCCCCTGCTGATGGCTCTTGTGATGTGGTTGGACATGCTGAAAGACTGTAGTACACTTCCTAATGTGGGGTAATTTCTAGTAGGGTTAGTGAGTGTCTGTGCTGGCTCACTGAAGTATCCCTGGTGTTATCTGTGAACATGTGGTTGGAGGATCTCTGCTGGCACCTCTGGAGCTAGTAGCATCTTATTGAGGATAGACTCTTATCCCTTATCCTTCTGTGCTGGTTTCACAGCCACATCTCTGAGCTATTAATGCTTTTGCCTTGAAAGAGTAGGTGCGAGTTGTATTTTTCAGCTTTACAGTCAGCCTGTGCCTGCCAAGTTGAAAAACAGTGGTTTTTCATGCTTGCTGGTGGCAATTTGGCATGTCTTTGGAGATCTGTGCTGGAAAGGGAGGCATCTAATAGAGATCTGGTTCTGGGTGGCATTGATAGACTGGATCTTTTCATACCACTGAGAAGAAAAAAATTATCTGCTCAGATAGCAATGGTTTGGGGTGAAATTTGTTAATTATTTTGGTCAGGGTTTGGGTACACATCTAGGCCTGTGCTATCTGTCTCTCAGAAGCCCTTAGCCCCTAGCAGAGGACATGGTTTGTACTGATCATTGCCTAACCTTGCCTTCCTCCCTGCTGCCTGGAGGCTTTTCCTCCTGACTCCTCTCCTTTCCAAGAGGCTGAGTGGAGTGGAAGGCTGGCAGGGACCTTCTGTCAGCAGCTGTCCTGTTCTTTGGTTCCTGACCCATGCAGGAGAATCCAAGGCCAGTTTAGAGCTCTTACTGTTCAAGTCAATTAAAACCCTGGTCTCTCAGTGCTCCTGTCCTATTTATCTGTTTCTGGACTCTCCTGCCCTGTTTCTCTGGCCCACCAGTTATTCTGCTGTGCATGGCAGGGAGGAGCGGGGAGCAAGACAATCTAACTAGTCGTTTTGGTTTCTAAACTGCTTGAAAATCCTGAATGCTTATATTGATATGACCCAGGGTGAAGAGCCAACCATAAACCTCCAGGTTCTCATAGAACAGATTCTTTTTCAGATGCTCTGCTATCATCCCACCATCACCATGTCACACTTCATTCTAGTAACAGTGACATTGGACAGTGGTACAATCGTAAATTCAGGTACAGACCTATGTCCCCATTACACTGGGTAGCTGTACTTGATGTTAGGCTCAAGTTAAAAGAGACAGATGGCTTAACCTAGTTCCATCTATCTTGCCTGTCAGGGCAGAGCTCAACTTTGAGTCATCTCCTCCCCCAGTCTCAACTTGGATCTGAATTTTCCTATGTGGTGAACCAGCTGTCACCCTACTTGCTAGAGCCAGCAGGAACAATTTGTGGTCTGGGCCTGTAGCTTAAGACCACAGCTTGCATAAACATAACCGAGAGGGTGTGATGGATTTGATTCTCAGCCTACCTGTAACAACTGCCTTGATCTTCCTCCATAGACCTGAGAAGATAGCTGAGCACTGCAGAGGCTGGTTCAGGATGAACATCCTGCTGGAGATGTGTCCATAGACTATAAAGACTAATCAAGTGCCTATTGTGAGCAGCTGTGGCCAGGCATGCTGTGTCCTAGGCTAGTAGCCATTCTCTTAGCAATACTTTTCAACCCTTGCCATGTGAATGTGGTGTTCTCACCTCTCCTGTGAACACCCACTTCCCTCTGCTGCAGGATGGCTGGGGAAAACGTGTATGCCCAGTGCTGGGGAGAAACAGCAGCTATAATATCTGTGGGGTGCATGGGAGAGCAGGTTTCCTGGCATGGACCTTTATCCATTTGCTGCGCTGGATGTTACAGAATTTGAGCAGCACTGTTGATGGATACTGAGTGTTTGGATACTGGTTGTGGCATGGCTGCAATCAGGCTGGGCACCAGGCACTGTCTGTGTCATGGTCCTGTTGGTACTGCAAAGGCATGTCACTGGGCTTATGATTACCCCTTTTGGCTCTCTGCTTGACTTGACAAGCATAATCTCCTGCCCATCCTCCCTACACGTGCTAGGGTGGGGCAGGGAGAATGGGGGACAAAGTGGCTGTACGTGAGAACCCACTGAAGCATCATGGTAAAGAAGCTTCAAAAAGGGGTTAAAAAATCAGAATGATCTTAAAAAACAAACATTCAGGGAGCAGGAGGGTTCTCATGTGATGTAAGTTTCCAAGCTGAAGGGATTTTATGTGCATCATTCTTCTGTATGACAGATGCCCCGGGGAAAGGGCCATGTCTTACCCCTGCTCTGGACATGGATATTGGCAAGAAAAACAAGGCTTTTTTTTTTGGCATCATGTGTGATTGGGAAAGGGACTGTGCAATGAATATATTAAAGGCACACAAGTGAAGCTGGGTTGTCATGACAACCAAATAGCTTCTATTGTTCCACAAGGAGTGTTATTACTTACTGCCCCTTGTAGGATAATTAATTAATCCTCAGACATCCTTTTGGGAACAATGGCCCTGGTGCTGGGGCTGAGCAGGCTGAGGAGAGCCCCCATCTCTCCCATGCCTTTCTCTGGGACTCTTGGAGTCTGCTGGCTGCATGATGGCAGGGAACAAGTGCTGTCAGTGACTAGCTGTTGCATGATTCAAAAAGTTGTTTTCCTCAGGAGTCCAGCTGGATGTGGTGCTGTGGAGGAACACAGCTCCACTCATGATCTAAGGAGCACTCCTTGCCTTCACTCCCATGGGAACTGTATTCTCAAAATGATGATGTGTTGACATTTCAATCCTGGAGGATACAGGGCTGTCTGCAAAGGCAACACAGTTATGTTTTTTTATGCTGGAAGTTCCCAGACTCTGATATACATAGTTGTTTTTCAGCTGCCTATAAGTGCTACGTGTTTTCTGGTACCTTGCTATATACAAAGGCAACGCATCTCCACCTCCTTGGGGGCCGTGCTCAGATACTGTGCCATGGTACAACTCAGAAGATGGAGTCGTACCAGGGTGCAGGGTGTTCATAGGTACGATGCTAGCTTTGTAATGATCTCACAATGATGAGGGACCCAAAACTACAGTCCTTAATTTTTTTAAAAAATGGCACCTTCTTGTTCATTGCAGCTGCTGCCTGTGTGTGGTCAGCCCTATTTTCAAGATCACTTGATAGAGTAGTGCTTTATTACTGTGTACTCCTCTTAGCCCTGCTAAGCAACGCTGAGCTGCAGCCTCTGTTGTTGTCAGTGATTAAAAGGATTATTTGCTGAGCCAAGATCAGTGACATCAATTGAAATGCCTGGGAAAAGATGCCAGGGGCCAGGCCAAATAGGTATTGGGGAGGGCCCTTTTGACTGGCAGACCCTCTGGGAAGTGCTGATCCATGAAGATGAAAGGCATAGCTGGAGTCTTTTCATATCTTATACGAATTTGCAAGTTGAGGATTTAAAGGCAGGCGGAAAGGAGAAATGTCTTCATAATGATGTTCAGTAGCTCAGATGATCTGCAAAGAATGGAAGGATGGTATCTCCTAGTTCTCCTTAAAGGAAATAGGCTGGATAAGTTATCTGGTAAATGCCATTTTGCTACAGGTGGTTGAATTGCAGTAAGCATGAAATGACGTGCAGGTATTTACAGATGCTTGTTGGTGTATAGTGGTACTTGGACAGTGCTAGGTTCAGACCTCATGGTATGGTACCCAGGTTACTGAGGAGCCTAGCAGTACTTCTGATTTAGAAGGAGGAAGAGCACTGGAAGCATGGAGCTCAAGGTGCTCTGCAGCTGAAGCAGCATGTGGGTTTCTGACCTTGTGGTACATGACCTGAATGCTGACCAAAGCCACTATCAGCTTAATAGTCTGGTTCAACCAACCTGCTTTGGTGGATCCAATTCTAATGGTATCTGGTACCAATGGTTTCAGGAGCAGCTGGAAGTCTTCCCCCACTCCTGCATGTCCTTTCAACTGACAGCTCAGAACTCGTCTGTTCAGGGTATATTGTACTTTCTGCATGGTGGGACTGGAGGTTAACACTTCCAACTGTAGACTTCTCTAAGTAACCTTTGGGGACATATTTTTCTAGTACCAGACAGATCAGACTCCCTTCAAGCATTAATGAACTATTTCAATAAGGAAAACAACCAGAAGTTTTGTATGCATTTGAAATAAGAGATGGTTACCCTTCATAACGCTTCAATTTTCCTGCCCTATGGTCCGTGCAGTCCTAAACCTGCTCCCTCCTGTGTATCTGCACACCATAGACAGCTCGGAGCATCCAGCCGTTATAGTTGTGATTTCTTTGTGGCTCCTATAATTTATTCATCCCAAGATGCTCTCCTACATCTGCAATAACATCGTTTCAGTTTGTTATAGCACTAGCTTTAAAGTTTTATAAACCTGGTGACAAGTTGAAAAGTTACAAGAAGATTGTTGTAGAGGTTAGTGTAAGAAACAAGGCTTCCAAAT